GGGCTACCATGATTTTTCTCTTTATAATGAAGGGCCATAGGATACAAAGGGTTACAAACTTGAATGGCATTCTTATGTTCTACTAATCTGATCTTTAATTTCCTTGTAGTCATCCCTATATAGAAACAACCACATGGACACACTAACCGATACACTACAAATGAGGTATTGCAATTAATAAATTATTTAACTTTAAATTCAATGTGTGAAGTTACATCTTTAAACATATTTGTCTTGACCATATTGTCACAGTGATTGCAATTGCCACATCTGTAATTTCCTGCACTAGGACATAACCAGGTACTTAATTTCTTAGAGGAAAGATGACTTCTCACTAATTTATCTTTAATTGTAGGTGCTTTCCGGAATACAATGGAGGGAGATTCAGGCATGACTTCCCTGAGATGGGGATCACTCATTCACAATTTCCCAATTATTTTTTCTATTCACTTCTGTACTGTACTGTGTAACGAAATAAACCGAATTATCAGAATCTTGTGATTTACGTTTTTGTACTAATAACTCCTCTCTACTGATGTTTGTTGCTTTATTAAATGCCTTGTTGATCACCCTGTTTTTGTACCCTCGTTCCTGAAATCTTTGAGTCATTTCTTGAGCCCTGAAATCAAAATCATCTTCCTTGTCACAGATCCTTTTTAACCTCTGAAACTGTCCTAAGGGAATATTGTCGATCAACCATGAAGGGTGAAAACTATCCGCTCTTAAAATAGTATTTCTATCTGTTTCTTTCCTAAAAATAGTAGTATGTAATACACCATTGCCTTCTTTAAAAATGTTTAAGTCCAAGAAATGTATCTCAGTATGTGAAAAATCAAGACTCAACTTCAAATTCACATTAGTATTATTTAAGTATGAATGAAAGACTAACAAATCTGCTTCTGAACCTGTCCATATCAAAATGAAATCATCTATATATCTACCCCACCACATCACATTCTTTAAATATGTATTTGAATCAGAAAATACAAATTCCTTTTCCCAAAATCCTAAAAACAAATTTGCATAATTTGGGGCAAAACAGGCACCCATTGCTGTACCTTTAATTTGTTTATAGAATTCATCTTGAAACAGAAAGAAGTTGTTATTTAATGTCCATTCTGCTAATTGCATAATAAAACATGCCGGAGGCCTTTCAGTACATGATCTCATAACTAAATAGTATGATAATGCTTCCAGCCCATCTTTATGGTCTATATTCGTATACAATGATTCAACATCCATAGTCACCAGTATAGATGATTCTGTAGTTTTAATATCTTTAACAATATTCAACACATGAGTTGTATCTTGAATGAACGAGGGGAGTTCACTAACTAATGGTTTACTAAAATAATCCACAAATTTTGAAGCCGGCTCTGTAATTTAGTACATAATAATAGTAGTAATTTAAACAATTTAGTTATCAAGACAGGAAAACTAACCTACAATAAAATATTAACAAACTAATATTTATTGTTTTAGTACAATTAATTATATAAAAATGTGTTAAAATTGTAATGCCTTTTCAATCATTTTATTGTCTACATCAATAATAAAATGTTTTAAATTAATCTTCATTAGAGCTTTTCTCAGCAAATATTAATATATGCAGTAATCAACCAGCATAACGAGCAGTTTATCATCAAGTGACAGCCATTTATTAATAATTTACAAAAAAGCAAAAGGACGTTTTTTTTACTGATACCTTTTCTAAGCTGGATTCCAAGTCTCCGCCCAACCTTCTTGGTAAAGCCAGTTGTGGGGGTGGGGCTTAATCCTCTTTGGGGAGAGGAGGCGTGACCTGATGGAGGTTTTCCTGATGAGCCAACAGGATGATGGATGGGAGAGCTGGTATCCAAATGGTTATTCGGTGGGTGTGACATGTGCTGCGCCAATCGGTGAGCAGCGTGATCCAGGCCGACCAGGTTATTGGTGAGGGAGTCAGGGCTGAAACGTCCGGAAAGGTCAATGTTCGCTCTGGGGTTGTGTTCATTATGGGATATCTGCTCATACTGGGATCTCATGGTGGTCGGCACCACGTGGAACAGGATGACGGGAGAATGCATTGCCTGACGAAACATGTTCTGAGCTCTGAGAACATACAAAAACACACAAACATTTAGGTTTATGGATTAATACAATTATAATTAATTTTCAGCAATAAAAAAATTTACCGCACCATCAGACACAAAGCAAAATAGAAAATATCTTACTCACTTAATGTCAGAGAAAAGGAGAAAGATGGACAGGATGGATGAATAGGTGGAAGGATGGAAGGATGAACGGATTAACAAATGGAAGGATGGATGGATGAACAAATCAATGAAATGAATGGAAGAACAGACGAGAATGGAAGGATGGATGCATGAACGAATGAATGGATGGACATATGGATGAACGAATGGAAGAACAAATGGATGAAAAGATGAACAGCTTGATGAATGAACAGATGAACAGCTTGATGAATGAACAGATGAACAGCTTGATGAATGAATGGATGGACATCTGGATGAATGGATGTTTGGATAAATGGGACTGATAGATGAACATCGATGGATGGATGAACAAATGATGGATGAACAGATATGGATTGATGGATGGATGAATGGGTTGACGGATGAATAAAAGGATGAAAGGATGGATGGACAGATGGGTGGACAGATGGACGGATAGATTGGATGGACAGATGGACGAATGGCTGAATGGATGTGTGGATGAATGTCAATGGATGGACGGATGAGGATTTATAGATGATGGATGGATGGATGAACGTAAGTGGGTGGCTAGATGAACGGAAGTGTGAACAAATGATGGAAAGATGGATGGATAGATAGATGAATGGATGGATGAACATATGGAAGAACAAATGAACGAGCGGAGCGAATGAATAGATGAGATGAAGAGTAAGGAGTTAAAGGGACAACAAGCACTCTGTACAGATGTGAGGTCAGGTCTTACTGCTCAAATCGGACATTCCGCAGATCTCCATTGTTGATCCGAACGATGCAGTCATTCTCCTGAAACAAACCCTGGATGTCAGCCTTCCCTCCACGCTCCAAACGCTTCACCAGCAGACCCAACGTCCTGCAACACACACACAAACACTTGATCTATGCCTAAGAGTCTAAGATTTATTTTTTATTTAATCATAAACGTCCTCCATTTGAAATGAAACATTAATTTGATTGATATCGAATTGAAAGAACTTGAACCTAATGCAGCATCATGAAGCACTTCTGAACGAAAGCTAGTTTCTCAAGATAAATAACGTTCTCCATCTTTATAACTGCGTCCTGTTGCTGCAGCTCGCCGCCCGGAGAGAGATGAAGATCACAGAGATATAAAGCGGCTTTTACCTAGATTAGTCTGCCTGGTGAACGCTCGCATACAAATGCTGTTTAGATACTCTATCTCTTCTGGACAGACTCTTATGGACTCTCTGCAGAGGATTCAATGACTCTTTAGGGTCACACAAACATTTAGTCATCTCAAATCAAACACTGATCTCTCAGAACATCAGGTGATGCAGAGGAGAGACTTGCAGAGCTCTCGCTGAGTTCAGAATATGCCAGTGACCAAAAAATATATTAAAATGAATATTAAAGGGATCATATGATGCAATTAAAATTTTTCCTTTCTCTTTGAAGTGTTACAAGTTCTTGGTGCATAAAGAAGATCTGTAAAGTTGCAAAGACTAAAGTCTCAAATCCAAAGAGATATTCTTTATAAAAGTTAAGAGTCAACCACGCCTACCTAAAACAGCTCGTTCTAACATGCCCCCACATATCTACGAAGATTTGCATAACGCCGCCCAAATGTTCACGCAAAGAAAGAAGGCGTAACTTTTATTCTCACTGTAGTTTTGTTGTTGCCGCCGCCCCGATGTTGGCATAGAGGAGAAACAATAATGTACAGTATGTGGAAAATAATGTGTTTTTTTAACCTTAAACCGCATAAACATTTCATTACACCAAATAATGTTATTTTTAGCAACATCGTATGACCCCTTTAAATTTATTAATATACTATTACATATACAAAAAGAACAATTCAGGCAAACATGCATAAAAAAAGTTTTATCATTTTTTCTTTTGTTTTGAGAGATGGTGATCTTGAGCAAGGTTTATGTTCAGTGGTTGAGTTTCCCAAGTTAAAAACTATTTATTTTATTTTAATTTTGGCCCATTTATTGATTTAATAATGGAGTTTGGTGGATGTTACCTGCGGTCTCGTCCGCTGAAAGGCACCACATGGATACCGAGTGGACCTCCGTCATTGGGCACTTCCACCAATTTCACAATATCACTGGAGGAAAAGAAACCATCAGAGAGAGTAAATAAGCATGTAATTCTGTGTAAAGCTCCATGGAGGTAGAGTCAAACAAAGCAGGATGGAGTCAGAATGCTGTTACACAAACTGCACCTTATGCACATATAAAGAAAGAAAAGACAAAGCACAAGAAAAAAAAGAAACAAAAGAAAACAAGAAAAAATAAAAAAGGAAAAATGATAATGAAAAATAAGAACTAAAACAAAAAAGAAAAGAAAAGAAAGAGAAACGGCATAAGAAAAAGAAAAAAGATGACATGAAAGGAAAATTAAAATAAAAGAGAAAAAAGGAAAGTCCAATACAAAAGAATGAAGAAATAATTGAAAAAAGAGCGCTAGAAGAAAAGAAAAAAGAAAGAAGAAAAAAGAAAACTATAAGGGGGGAAATACAAAAAAGAAAAGAGAAAGAAAAAAGATGACAAGAAAAAAAGAAAGAAACAAACAAAGAATTGAAAATAGAAATAAGAGTACAAAAAAGAAAACAAAAGGAAAGAAAAAGGAGAAACAAGAATAAAAGAAAAGAAAAAGGAGAAAAAAAAGAATAAAAGAAAAGGGAAAAAAAAAGAAAATAAAGAAAATGAAAGCAAAACAGAAAAGGAAACAAAAAAACGAACAGAAAAAGTTGAAGAAATGTTTCTTTTTCTCCCTCTCTCAATGTTTAGTTTTCCCCATGTTGTTTCTCTATTACCCTGTAGTTTATAAGTCTCTCCATCTCTCTCTATCTAAGGCAGTTGGTCAATCACTCTTCCTCTGTGACCAAGCGTTTTTAAAAGTGTAATACAGAGGAAAAACACAATGGAAGGAAGTGAAGAAAATAGCTGTGATGCACAATACACCCTTTACGGCAGACATAACCATCCCATCTTATATAACAGCTGTCTAATATGACAAAAGAGTGTGTGCGTTTGACAGCATAACTGTATCAGTCCGACACCGCTGACCTTCTGACAACATCCAACACGCTTGGATTGATCAGAGACTGTTGCCAAGCCATTGTCCTGCTCGGATCTGATCCAAACCTTTCTCCCGGCAAACGCATATTGCAAACAGTGATTGTTTCCCACGATGACTGAGTAGCCAAGTATTTTTCTGGGATTCTCCTAAACTGAAATGACTAACAGCATTAGAACGCAGATCCTGAAAAGTGTTTCTATTGAATCGTCTCCACCTCGTCCTAATTAAGTCAATCATTAGTTTATGTTCGAGCGTTACTACTGCTCTTATATCGGCGAGCCTCACTTCAATTGGCTGAGGTGTTGCTATGCATGACAAGAAATCGGGACAGAAGTAACGTTAACAGAGGAAGTTTTAGTCTGTCAGCCTCTTCCATTATTAATTGATGAAAGACAGACAGAACAACCTCTGGAAGAAGAGTGTGAGAATTACAGAAAAATTGTTTATCTGTCTGTCTTTCTATCTATCTAATCTATCCATTCGTCCATCCATCTGTCTATTCATGTATAAGTACATCTACCTATCCACCTATCTACCCATCTTTTCATTTACGGTCTATCTAGCCATCTACCCACCTACTTGTCTGTCTGTCTACTTACCTATCCATCTGTTAGTCTATTAGTCTGTCCATATGTCTATCTATCACCTCAACACTCACTAGACTGACACAAAGTGAATGTGTATGTCAGTGAAAGAAAATACTGAAGAGAAACTGATTACTGAGATACAACTGACCTACAGCAGCACCTACTGGAGAGAAACTGAGAGAAAAAAAAGAGAGATCTATATATAGTGTTATCTCATTAGCAGTCTAAAGCTGAGAGTGATTTATAATCGCTGTTTTACCTTTATGATTAATTACAGACACACACTCCTCCACACCAACCCTCTCTCTGATACACCACACATCTCTTCTCTCTTTACATACTGAATGCAACTGATTTCAGTGCTTGCACTACACTTCAGTCAGTTCCAATCAAGAAAACGCAATATAACACAAAAACACACAGATTATAAGCATTATTCAGACCTCAATCACAAACCTTTCTTTTAAACAGTACAATAGTACACGGCATGGCATGTTTCTTTAATAAAGATTTTTAAGTATATTTATATCGCCGTTTTGTTTTGTTTTTTTAAGTATACATTTTAAGCATACATTTTAATGCACATAAATCATTGAGCTACAGGTAGTTTGGGGTAAAGACTCATACTCTAATGCCAGATTTTTGTTCAAATAAACAGAAACAGACAATCAAATGAAATTGTACATCTGTGATAAAAACACACTAGTGATCATCTCTGATTAACATGTGGAAATATTACCAATTTAAATAAAGTGGGACATGTTTTCTCCAGTCTCAAGAATCAGTGTGTTGCGCCTTTAAGAAATCCCTTTTACATGTCAAGTGAACAACAACGCTTTGATCAGTTTCTTTCTTTAATAACAGCCTTTTTACAAAGACTGCATTACATCGTGACATATTCATCAAACAATCTGTGTTGAAATGTGCGCATTAACTTTTTAAAAAATTGGACATGATTAAGCCATTCTTTCCTAACACTGGGATCTTTCTGAAGGGTATGGAGAGCAGCAGGCACCACACGCAGCCAAAAACTGCAGAGTTTGATGCACTTTCACACGTTTTACTGCTATTTTCTCTGGTGTTTAGCAATAATAGGATTTATCCAGCTTTCCACTGATTACCCAACCATGATTGGGCTAGCCAAATATCTTATGTCCCAGTAGGCATCACTGACATTCATTTTTTGCACTTATCCATCTAAAATCAAAAAAGTGTGGACATTCACTGATTAATTTTAGCCTGGTTTCAATAAATGCTCTTTCTGTACTTGGCAGAAAGTTTTGAAATGTTGATTTCTTAAGAAACATGACCCTTAACATTAGGGTTGCACAATTAATAGAAATAAAACCAAATGGCTTAGTGCAATTATCAAATGTTACGGTATGGCTGTAATGTAGTCATACTGCTTTATAAATGACAAAATGTAATGACTAGATCATTACAGTACCAACCTGTTCCTGTCGCTCCAGCCAGCGGTCCACCATGGGATGATTGGCGCTGAGTGAGGAACGGGCCTTCTCACGCTGAAACTCGTTCTGATTGGACCGCTGCCCTGCATCACGAGGAAGACTACGATATGTGTCGACACCTCGGCCCTGAGGAGAGAAAAATTATATTCTTACAGCATTAACTTTCTGTTTATTGCCTACTTAGTACACTGTAGTAAAACGATAATAATGATGATTCACATGTACATGGATGGTCAGATTACAATTTAATATACCAGTAAACAGCCATATATGCCAAAATATATTTTTGGTCTATGAGGACACTGTACTGATGGATAAGAAAAAGCTGTAAATCAAAGCCTCACACTACAAAGGAATAACCCGAGATGAGCAAGTGTGAAAGAGCGAGCAAAATCCATAACTCATTGTCTAGAGAGTTGTATGACTAGCATTGACATAAGCATTACTCTGCTAGAAGGAGAACTGACAGAGAAATGATGGTCACATCAGCAAATGCATTAAATGAACTCGCACACGCACACAATAAATTTAACACACAAACAGCAGCAAAACATTCTATGCCATCACATGGCTTGTTTATAGAGCTCTTTCTGTTTGTGAGATGCTTGGTTGTGAACCCTTCAGAAATGACAGTAAATATTCATAGAGATGTCATGAAGGGTGATGTGACCTCTGCCTCTAAAGATGACAGATTTATCGGATATGATCTGAGAAATGACACCAGCAGGAACCCGATTGCCTCTAAACAGCAATACAGCATACAGCAACATTAATAGAGTGCAATAGTGTCAGCCCACTTTTACCATGGCATTGGTTTTGGAAGTATTTTTTCCATTCATTTTTTCAAAAAGTCTTTGTTTAAAGAGTTATAAGCCATGAATCAAACCAACCAGCTACAATGTGAATTACACCATTACAAACTTTTATCTGAAGCAATAAAGTATTTGAAAATCAGACAAAAGACAAGACTGTGTACTTAATGGCTTTAATAAGGGAAAACTACAATCCCATCAAATATTACGAATGTTTTAATCAAAATAAAAAAAACAATGGAGAAATAGTTAAAGTTATTAGTTTAAAGTTGATATATAGGAAGAACATTTTAAGTTTATTGGAAATATGCATATATTTGCAAATATTTAAGTATTTTAAAAGAGCGTATTGAGACAGACTCAATTATGTCATTTGTTGTGCTTGATGGGAGTTTCTGCTGAGATCTTTTGTTGAGATTTGTTATTTATTTAAAACTGCATTAAAATAATGCAAATTGGTGTCTTTAACAAAAGCATAACCATTGATTAATAACCTCGGAACTCACAATAGGTCTGTCTTACATAGGTTTAAAAATTAGTGTTAAAATCTATTTCCCCATGGAGAAAAAATAATGGAAGTTTTACTTCCTGAACCCAACTACTGCGCTCAATAAGCATCAGAGAAAGTGATTAGTGCACCAAAAATTACAATTCTGCCATTATTTACTAACCCTCATGTCACTACAAACCTGTATGAATTTCTTCTCTGGAACATAAAAGATGATATTTTGAAGAATGTTTCAACTGTTTGCTAAATAAGGTCCAAAATAACATTACTGTACGTACGATTAAGAACTTTTTTCCCCAAAATATCCTCATTTTAAGAAGAATGAAAGTCATCAAGGTGAGTAAATGATGACAGAATTGTCATTTTTCAGAGTAGTCAGTTATGTTCCTCCACTATAAAGCTTTGGAGCTTCACAGCAGCTTCATACCTTCCTCTCCAGACTGTTGGTGCCGGAGGAGAAACGTGGTTTCAGGAAGCCGGCGGTTGTAGACCAGCGTGTGGGATTTTTTCTGGAAGGTTCTTCGGGTTGCGAACCAGGCTCAGAGAAGGACATCGCTGTCAGGTTCAACAATGCCGGATCGCTACTGCGACGTACATGCAAAGGCATGTCTGTGAGAAATAGAGAGACCAATGAGTGACACAAAAGGCCAAAACTTCCACAGCAGTGGCACATTTCAAACTTGGAAATTCCTATACTACATTACGAGAGTCTCTTCGTCTGTCTCTTACTGGTTCGGAGCGTGGATGTGGTGACCTCTATTTCGCTGTGGGGCAGGTACGGCTGGAAGGCAGACAGTGGGGTGGAGGTGGACGGCTCTCCAGAGAAGAGCTCCGGCGACTGTGTGCCTGTGGAGCTCGCACTGGTGCCGTCACCTCCGACATGAGGCTCCTGTTCGTCAAACACTGCCACCAACTGCAAAGAAAAAACACAGTGAAAAAAAGTGAGAACGATGTGAAAAAGTGAGAAAATTTGATACATACATTATTATGCCTTGCAAACCTAAACATTTGTTTTTTGTTTAGAAAATTCTGCAGATTTGTCACCAAAATAATTCTGTCTAGCTGGCTAACATGGATGAGGTTTGGTCAAAATTGCAAAAATGGCTTGTGAAATGTCATTGTTTTCCAGCCTGTTATATAATAAGCTATATAATTTCTAGTTTGTTGCAAAGTTTCTTTTTGTAAAGAAAAATATGTAATTATAATGAACAAAAAAATGTTGGTAACACTTTACAATAAGGTTCAGTTTGGTACCAATAGTTCATACATCTGTTATCACCAACTAAAAATGAAAAACATTTGAAATCTTTTTTAGAATTTTTATATAGTTTTAAATCTTTTAATAATTTATTCATCTAATTCTTGTTTGTTAATGATATAAAGAAAAATGTAGATTTGAACAAACCTAGATTAATAAATGATGCACACTGTACAGTGTTGTAAAATAAATTTTACATTTAATAGACATAAAAACTACTGTTAAAATATTTGAGGTCTGATTTTTTTTTGGGGGGGGGGCATTTATAATATAAAAAATATATATATTTCAAATAAAAAGCTATGCAACTGTTTTCAACATTGATAATAAGAAGAAATGTTTCTTAATGACCAAATCAGCATATTACAATGATTTCTGAAGAATCACGTGACACTGAAGACTGGAGTAATGATGCTGAAAATTCAGCTTTGCCATCACAGCAATAAATTACATTTTAAACTCTCTCTCTCTCTCACACACACACACACACACACACACACATCTAAATAGGGACATATCATAGACTTCTATAGTTCTTATATACAGCCAATTATAAATATTGTATTCTAACCCATAAGCCACGCCCTAACAAACACATGCATTAAAAAAAAAAAACAATTGACATTATTTAAAATAATTAAATACAAATGAGGACACCTCTGGATGTCCCCAAAGATTTAGATGCCAGATTTAGCTCAAAGAAGTACATTGTTCAAAATTTGGGGGGTCAGTTAGACTTCAATCACAACACTCACCGCGCTCTCCCAGCTTTTATAAGTGCAGAAACCTGTCTCTTATATCAAACGTTACTCAAGGTCTGCACTCTACAATTTATTATTGCAGGAGATAAAAATGGATGACACTGACGAAGGCAGCAAGCCGAAACGTTTGTCATCTGTTTTAATCTCCTGCAATAATAAAAAGAATTATAGGGTCAGTTAGACTTAAAAAATTTATAATTTTATTCAACAAGGGCACATTGAATTGTTCAAAAGTGAGATATTTATACTGCTACTGAAGATTTCGATTTCAACAAAAAATTATGAAAAAAGTACCAGGGTTTCTACAAAAACATTAAGCAGAACAACTGTTTTCATTGATTGTAAATAATTGATAGTAATAAGAAATGTTTCTTGAGCACCAAATCAGCATATTAGAAAGATTTCTGAAGAATCATGTGACACTAAAAACAGGAATAATGATGAGGAAATTTTTATTTGGCTTTGCATCACAGGAATAAATTAAATTTTAAAAAAGGGTCTGAATACTTAGGACCATGTGATATTTCAGTTTTTCTTTTTTAATAAATCTGCAAAAATGTCAACAATTCTATGTTTTTCTGTCAATATGGGGTGCTGTGTGTACATTAATGAGGAAAGAAAATTAACTTAAATGATTTTAGCAAATGGCTGCAATATAACAAAAAGTGACAAATTTAAGGGGGTCTGAATACTTTCCGTACCCACTGTATATTATTTATATATTAAAAGTTATTTTAAACAGTAATAATATTCCACAATATTTTACTGTATTTGTGATTAAATAAAGGCAGACTTGTTGAGCAAAACATTAAAAAAACACATTTGAACAGTAGTATATGTACACAAAGATATTCACCTCTAAGGGCTGAAATAGCCATCTTGGTAAACACATTTTAATTGGTCACAAGAAATAGTTCACCCAACAAGAAATCGTTTCATTTGAACACACTTACATGAGTATATTACTTTTTTCCCCACTACAGAAACAAAAGGCCAGTGCAATGAAGAAAAACAGACAGAAAAAATAAGGGAGATGAAGAAATGTGTATGAAGACGTGAAGAATGTCTTTAGCTGGCGTGTATGCATGCGTGTGATTCTTGCTGCTTCAAGTAACCCAAACCTCAATTAACTTTAGCATAACAAATAATACTGCAGTGCTGTTCTTCATAGGGTTGAGTAATTCTTTACTGGTTACCTAAACAAACATGACACCTCGTGTATTACTGGAAATACACACACACACACAGTAGCATTACAGCTGAACGAGCAACAGCGGCATTGAGAAATCCCTCCATGTGTTTCACAATGACTCTAAAAACAAGAACTCACCGACCCAACAACACAAATCACATCTTACAAACACATCTTCACACACACTGGAGGTCAACAGTGGTTTGTGTGCACCAAGTATGCTGACAGGAAGTTCCCAGGACATAATTTGCAAATAAATTCTTTAAAAATCCTACAATGTGATTTTCTGGATTTTTTTTCTCATTTTGTCTCTCATAGTTGAGGTATACCTATGATGAAAATTACAGGCCTCTCTCATCTTTTTAAGTGGGAGAACTTGCACAATTGGTGGCTGACTAAATACTTTTTTGCCCCACTGTATATACTTCCTGTGAGGATATTAATTTCCTCTTTAAAAGGATATGATCTTTGAGCTTCACAATCTGTTGAACCCATCTCACTCTGACACCAGTGTTGGGCTAGTTACTCAAAGAATGTAATGTATTACTCATTACAAGTTACTAATTTCAAAAGTAATATTGTTACTTTACTTATTACTTTCCGGCAACAGTAATTAGTTACACTACTAGTTACATAACTTTTTCTTTACGCCCCACAGAAGTTGTAACTGTGTATCTTCCACATAAAATTCTAGTTATTGATAGTGACATTCCAGTAGAAGTTTTGTATTAATCTCATTAATTGTCATGTGTAGCTTGTTGCTAATTGTAATTTTCTCCGATTATATTTCATTATGAATTTTTTCAAATCACACAAGTTTGTAAGAAACTTTAATTTTCCAAAAAGATTTTTGATTATAGTAATATAATGTGCCACGTGCTGATCAGAGGGATGTGGGTGGGATGTAATGCCAGAGTAAAGTAAAGCCACAATTTACACAACAGTGCTCAGATTAGGGCTGGGCGATAATTCGATAATGATAATTCGAATTTGATATAATTTTCCTCGATAAAACGATATGAAGAGTTCAATAAATGTTCGATATAATGTATATGCGCCTAAAGCGGAACGAAACGGCGCGACTCATTTGAATCGCGCCACACGGACTGTTTATCCCATAGACATAATAAATGTAAGCTTTTCCATATTCCAAGCTTGCCTGCTGCACTGGGGACATCACATGCATGCGCGAGTCGTGAAAATTATGAAAATAAATCTAGAAATTATTTGATTGTTGGATTTTAAATCAGCAGGGTTAAGGCATCAAAAGTAACTAACTAAGCTGTTTTATGGATGGTAACTAATATTATTACTGAAATCTTATTAGTAATTAGTTACACTACTAGTTACTGCAAAAAGTAATATTATTACAGTAACTAAGTTACTAGTTACTGCCCAACACTGTCTGACACACACACACACAATCTGCCCTATAGCCTATAGTTTACACATAACTGAACATATGAGCCTGAACCCGACCAAATGAGAGGAGACCACGGTTCATTTTCAGCTGGACAGTTAAAGCTGTAAAATCTGTTTGGATGAACAATTTTCAAAGCCGCTGTAAAACAGCCAACACACACGTACACAGGAGTGTCCCTTCAGATTCAGGTTAATGCAATGGGTATCGAAGTGGTGGGTATCTGGGTATTTCTGTGGGAATTTTTGCCCATTCATCCAGTACAGCATTTGAGGTCAAGCGCTGATGTTGGATGAGAAGGCCTGGCTCGCAATCACCATTTCAGTTCATTGAAGGTTTTCGATGAGGCTGAGGTCAGGACTCACCTATCAGGCGGCCAAACAGAGACGTGTGATTCGTCACTCCACAGCATAAGTTTCCACTGCTCCAGAGTCCAGTGGTGGCGTGCTTTACACCACTCCATCTGATACTTGGCATTATACTTGCTGATGTGAGGCTTGCATGCAGCTGCTTGGCCATGTAAACCCATTCCGTGAAGCTCCCGTTGCACGGTTTTTGTGTTGATATTAATGCCAGTGAAAGTTTGGAACTCTTCAGCTATGGAATCAGCAAAGAGTTGGTTATTTTTACGCACCATGCGCCTCGGCACTTGGTGACCCTGCACTGTGACTTTACATGGTCTTTCACTTTGTGACTGAGTTGCTGCTGTTCCTAAATGCTTCCACTTTTCAATAACACCACTTATATGTGACCATATCTAGCAAGCATGAAATTTCAGGATCAAATTCACTGAGCTCTTCAGAACGACCCATGTTTTTCACAACTGTTTGTAAATGCAGACTGCATGGTTAGCTGTTTGATTTCATCACAGACCTGGGAAATATGTCTGATTGAATACTTAAATTAATTAAATAAGAGATGTGTCCCAATAATGTGTGTGTGTGTGTATGTATATATATATATATATATATATATTCTCATTTCAAATTTTAAAGGCGCATATTATATGTGGTATATATCTGCTAAATGTTGTCATTTAAGTTTGTTAGCATAGAGATGGCCTTAAAGGGATAGTTCACCCCAAAAATTTAAATTTGATCATCATTTACTTACCCTCATGTCATTTCAGTATGACTTGAATTTCTTTTGTGGATCATAAGATATTTAGCAGAATATTGGTAACCAAACAGTCCCTGGTAGCCATTGACTTTCATAGTATGGAGGGGGGAAAAACTATAGAAGTCAATGCCTACCAACAATTGTTTGGTTACAAAATATTTTCTTTTGTGTTCAACTGAAGAAAGAAATTCATACAGGTTTGAAATATCTTTAGGGTGAGTAAATTATAGGATTTTCATTTTTGATGACCCAAAATGAAGATTACCCCATGATTAACGTCTCAACCCCCATTCACAGCCATTATAAAGCCTGGAAGAGCCAGGACGTTTTTTTTATATAACTTTGATTGTATTTGTCTGAAAGAAGAAAGTCATATACACCTGTCATTTAGCAGACGCTTTTATCCAAAGCGACTTACAATATATATATATATATATATATACACACAGTATATAAAATTATACCTGTTAACGCATTAACATACTAAGACACCTAAAAATACTAAAACTAAAATAAAGAATGCAGAAGAAAAACTACATATAAAATATTATAAAAAAAACTAAAATATAGTTTTATACAAACATGTAAAAAATATTGGAATTATATGGATTACATATTTAAATTACCACAAAACATATTTAAATTATAAGCATTAATTTACTAAAATACTTAAACTAAAATATAGAATAAATATTCTAAAAAAAACAAAAAAAAACAATTAAACTAAAAACCAAAAGCTATAACTAAAAACCAAAAATAATAGGCACTAAGAAAAATCGAAGCAAAACTAAAATAAAAAGGACAAGTAAAAAATAATTAAAAAGTAAATTAAGAACACAAAACTATAATAACCCTGCTCTGAGTGTGTGTGTGTGTGTGTGCCTGTGTTCATGCGTTTAGCCTAAAAATGGACGCTGGTTTACCACAGACAATTACAAAACTGGTTATGGACCATTAATATTAGACAGTCCACATTTGTGCAGAGAGTTTAAAACATGTGTGAGTTTCTGTGCTGTTGTGTGATTGTAGGTTAAATGCGTCACACTAAACCACATTAAAGCAGTATTGTAGCACTTCCTGTTTGCGGACGGTGTTTCCTGTGACCACAGGTGCAGCCTGAGTCATTCAGTAAATCGGTGTGAGATACCAGGATGTAACGTAAACACTGGCTGATAGAAGGCATCGTCTTTTAAGGTAAAACTAGACACTATCAGCTATAAATGTGAGAGCGTATCCCTGGTGTGTGTCCCTCAGGCACAGATGTGAAGTGTCTTTTATTTCACACAGAGAACTAAAATAACACGCACACACCCAGACACACCCACCACATCAAACACACAACTACATTCTAGCAAAGTGTCTATGGTCTTGGTAAGCCGATATCATCTGTTCTGGGTCAGCAACATGTTGCAAAGTGAAGAAGAGAGTGCACTGCCTGTGTTTGGCCAGAGGGGGGCAGAGTTACCCTGCAGAAAACTCAAATCTCTCATTGCCATTTTAATCATTCATTCATTCATTCATTTTGCTCATTAAATGTTCACAACTGTTTACTTTTAAGACTTTGAATGTACAATACTACTAATTAGAGATGAACTAATATTAACATTCTGCTCGATACCAATAAGCCAGTAATTATGCTCATGTTATGGTCGATAACAGATTAGAATTCTATACAATTTTGTCATTTTTATTTTAACGTGGGACTCTAGCCATACAAGTATAGGAAACATCCACATTATATAGACTATTATTAACAGAATTACAATTTCCCAATAATAATAATAATAATATTAATACCACCACCACCAACAACGACTTTTATTATTATTATTATTATTGTACACTATTTTGTCAAAATAAAGCAAAAATGAAAGACTAAAAACAAATAATTGTGTTACATTTTTAAATGGTTTAAAAGTATATTTTGTATAATAATAATATTTTTTGCTTTTATTATTTTACATATTACTGATATTATTAATAAGGGACCCAAGCCACGTAAGTGTAAGGAAAAGGAAATTAACAACATCACAAAGACTATTATTAATATAATAATAATAATAATAAATAATTGTCATTGGCATCACAACATTATAACATTATGAAAATAGTTTTTTTTTAAGATTACAATTAACAGCATTATTAAATTATTAATTCGTTTTAAAGATCAACTTTAAGATAAATCTAACTGTAAAAATATTCGAAATGATCATGCAAAATTAAGTACCCAATATCGAAAGATGTGATCAATTAAAAAATATATATATAATAATAAAATATACTATACTATTTAAATACTATTGTAGCTGTCTAATTGGTAGCTGAAGGCATTAGCAAATTATCTAAAATATCTCAAAAACAAAAGCAGGGGAAAGCGTAGAATTTTATGAATGATGGCGGATGGAATTCTGTGGAAACCTGTGGAGTTTCTGCAGCTGCAGATTCCATACAGCACTACTGATGCCTGAACACTGGAGTTCACAGCAGTGTGTATGTGTTTGTGAGTCCGGCCTCAAATTAGGTCATGGTTATTGGGAGACAACAGTCATCTGATACATGTAACTAAAATATATACTACTAAAGAAACGCACAGGAGCGCTGCCCGTTTTAGAAGAGAATGCTAGCAGTGTGAGAGTGTGTGTTTGAATGTTTGCATGTCTCACTCTGTCTTTGTCATCGGCCACATCACACAGAACATCATCCAGGTCAAGAATTCCTCCATCACCGTGTTCCAGCCGGTACACCTGAACCCAGTACTCTTCACCCTAAGAGAGAGACACAAACAGAGACAACATGGTAAACTTTTGTTTGACTTTTAGCTTAAGCAAAAGTATTCTACCACAGCAGGACAAACACACACACACTCAGGACATTCTAATCAATGAGGAAGAGCACACACATAATGAGGGTTTAACTAATCAGGATAATGCACCTGAATCTAGACCATCACCCAGACAGGACTACACACACACACACACACACACACACACGGGTCATTACAACTCAGCATGACACCCACCAGACAGACAGAACACCACACACACACACACGATCAGCGCAGACAACACAGATACACTGTAGGTCAAAGTCACATGGAGAATGTGAACTGAAGTATGGGACAGCTGTCAATCAAAACTGAAATGCACATTCCAGACAGGGGCCTGTATAAAAAAAATAAAAAATAAAAATAGCAAGAATAAATAATCATCACAGTAATAATGCACAATATAAAATGATAATATTATATAATAATAATGTTTAATATACAATAAGTCATATTTAATATATTTTACAGAAATAATAATACTAAAAACTATTACTACTACTAATAATAATTAATTAATTAAATTATTATCATTATACCCAAACCATATATCTGTAGGAATGACCAGAACATTAGGGACTATTATTAATAGAATTATAATCAGTCAATAATGATAATAATAATAATGTTTAATATACAACGATTAAGCCATATTTAATATCATATTTTAAAGAAATAATAATATTATAATGCTACTATTAGTAGTCATCATAATAATTACTATGATTATTATTATTAACTAATATTATATTAAATATTACTTATTTGTTGCATATTAAACATGATTATTATGCAAATTATACTAATACTAATTATACTAATATCAAAAATTAAAAGTTAATAATGAATACAATAAATTAAAAAACTTAATTTATACATATTAATAACTATTATTTATTGGACAAAAATCTTTGTAATGCTGGATGAATCATAAACATCATAAAGAGTTTTTTATATTAAGAATTTTATATTAATATCTGCTTGGCCTCAAAGCACATGAACTGTCCACAGAACCCCCAAATATGATTTTATGAGGTCCTTTAGCTGCTTAGAAAAGACAAGTGTATCTGTGCAACATAAAGTGTACAGGTGCTATGTGCCAAAGTTTAGGGGTTTTGAAAACCTGCAATCAACTCTAATAAAGTAATTTAAATAGATAACATAAATAGAGTTTCATCACTCAAAACGGTCTACAATGAATAAGTAACTGCTTGATTTTGCAGGCCAAACAAAGTCATGATGTCACAATATACCACAGTAATGAACCAATCAGTGCTGACTCTACCTGCTTAGCCCAGCCCTTTTCCTCCCGGAGTCTCTTCTGCGGAGAGAAGTGATGCTTCCACATCTCTAACCATCACAATCTGTCTTTCTCCACACACAAAAGAAACCAGACCAGGTTAAAGTCCCTTTCTGTCTCCTCTTCATTGCTTTCTTCCTCTCAGTTCAGAAACAAATATTCCTAAACAAGGGTGCGTTCAGTAATATGAGAAGTTCACTCTCAGACCCGTGTGTGTAAGCTGAGAGAACTGTGCGGTCAAAGACAAGTGACTGTATTTGATACAAGAGCCCATGTCTTATTGAGCAGCGCGAGGAGCAGAGACATGTACACACTACAGCAAACGAATATTCAAACTTACTTTACACTGCTATCCTAACTGCATTCGCGTGGGTGTAGCCTATATGTGTGATGTTGATTAATGCTTTGGTAATGTAATCCCTCATTTACGATGCTAATAAAGCTTATTAAAATCTCCTGACAGAGAAAGCGCATGCCCGCTAACCCAAACATGCAGTCCAACAAGGGAACATCAGTCTCCCCCAACAGAGAGCAAAGTGTTTTCATGAGAAAGAGTCTTTATGAAGCCTCTTTTTTCAACAATCTGGCTCTCTTTCTGCAGGATACAGTCATTTCGCAGTGCTAACTCACACACACTCACGTTCAGCTTAATGAGCGATTACTCTAAAGAGGCATGCGGGCGTCTGAAATATTTCAAAATGTGACAAACAACAGTAAGGAATGTGTTCCTGCCGTTGTTTGCTACATTTTGAAACATGAAAATAGGCATGTTTTTCACAGGCTGGTTCAGAATGCTTGCAAAGAGTTCTCATGACAACACATGATATATATACACAGGAACTTCCACAGTAATTATCTATCATAGACATAATAAATACCTAGACACCTCACTGGCCGCTCGACCGCACGTCAACGTCGCCGCCATATTGGTGAAGGCACCTCTCATATCGGGACAGGCGAAAACATACCTGACTCGTCGGCAGCTTGGGCATCTACAATCTAAAATGATCTTTCACAGGTAAGACTGAACAGTTGTTTCTGTATGTTTTTTAGTCATTTTTAGCTTTATGTTGACAGCTTAATTCGCCACCAGTGTCAGACTATTAATAGCTAGCGATATCGCTAGTAAGCTGTGAAAGCTGAGACTTTATACGAAATCAAAGTTTAAATGAATTCTTAAGTTTTAACTTTATATTGTAGTTTATATCATAAAGTAAATTGTGTTATGAGCACAATATGTAGAGTGAGCACTTTGACAAGACAGTGCCAGACTGTCAGGATTAGGGATGGAGCTAAAGCATCTCTCTTTAATTTCACTAACGTTACTTATTTACAAAGAGTAAGTTTATCATCACTTGATTATAAGGATTTCATAGCTTATCACAAATCTGTGAACTTTTTTATTTTTTTTTATTTTTAGCCAATTGCAAACAGGACAACGCAAGCCTTAAGGAAAGCTGAAGAAAGCCTGTTCTCTGCATTTCCAAGAGACTAGGCTATACTTCCACAGCCTAATGTTGTATTTAACCCAAAATAGCCCTGAATGAATGGCCAGAATTACCCTGCTCATATTCAAACCACACACTCTCTCTCCCCCCTTACTTGTTTCTTACTTTGTTTAATAATTATTACACAATACTATTATAAAACTACATTTCATGATTATTTATTTTACTTTATAATTTACTATTAATTTATTCTTCATTATTGTCTATTCTGTATTATTCCACCCTTGATATTACATATTCTACTTGCTATTATTCATCTATTTATTTTGGTATTATACATATAATTTATTCTATTATAAATTTATTATATACTGTTGAACTCGCTTTTTATATTATTCACTTTACTACAACTTGTACTACATACAATTTTTAATATTACATATCACTTTTACTGTGCACTGTATCAGTGCATAATATTTTACCACTGTAACTGTAAGTTTTACTGGATCCATAAAGGATTATCAGTTGCGTTTGTTATTGTTTGTTGTGGAGTTTATCTGTATAGAGTGCTATCACAATAAAAAGCAGACTACGAAGAGTGTCACTTTTTGATTTGTATTCGCTGGTTTTATTCAATTTTCCTAATGATGGTAAATTATTAGTGCTTAAAGATTTATTATTTAGATTTTCTTCCAGTATTTCAAAGGGGCTGAGCTGTGTTCTGACCTGAAGCACAAGAAAAGCTCAAATGTTGGGGTTGAAGACCGAGAAAGCAATAAAACAACTTAATTTCATTCAATTTACATTCAAATTACAAAACATGTATATGTCACAGTTATACTACATTAACATTAGAATTGTAAGCCGAAAAAATCTATCAAATCAACAAGTGAGACAAGTGAGAATTTTCACAATTTCTTATGAAAATTAATAATTTTCCAAACCTAACTAAATAACTGGAGGCAGAGTTATTATCAAAGGAATTTGACTAAATGTTTGCGCTTCAATTGAGATGCCAAAATTGTAGAGTTTCTTCTTAACAGGTAAGCTAAAATCATGCTTTTGCCACACGTTAGCTTTTAACTGTCAATCCCCAGATAAAATAGTAAAATAATGTAAGAATAAGAATAATCGTAAGGGTGCGATTAGTGTAAAGAGCATTTGTGAATGTTGTTTGAAAATACACTTTATTTTTGTAATTGTGCTAGGTGAAACTACATACTTCTTTAAGAAGAGTTATGAATAAGTTTGTGATGCAATTCCAGTCACGAAGACGTGATTCCATTTAAGGTAAGATTCAATAAGAATACCCTGGAAAGGAGATTTGATAAGATTCACTTTGAGAAGAGATTCAATATAACTGAGATTCAATTCAGACACAGATTTGATTCATTTTGATTCAGGAAGAAAACATTCAACTTAAAAAGAGAAGATCTGATGAGATTAAATTTGAGAAGAGATTTGGTTACATTAGAATCGAAAAGTGAAATAAGAAGCTACATGACTCTAGATTTAAATGCCCAGAGACTTCAAAAATATAAATCACAGAAAATATGCTGAATCTCTCCATGGCTTCCATGCTTTCAGCAATGGTCTCTTTCAATGGCTATTCAGCTGAAATAATAGATGCTCTGTATATATAGAGAGATTATACACTGAATACTGTCAAAAGGCTAAAAATAAAGAGATTACAGATTCAATTTATTAATTAAATAGTGTAAAGAAAATAACACCATCAAAATTGTATTATTCATGCCACCTACCTGTACATAAAATCTGTAATAAAGTATTTCCCATCATCAGAATGTTTGTCCCATCACCTTATGCACGTTTGTGAGTTGAGTTCAATAATATTGCAATTATAATATAATATGTTTCCTAATTATCATAATTTAGGGGCTTTTTCTCAGCAAATTATTTTTAAAAATCAATTATTATTCAATGAATTAAAGGGATAGTTCACTCAAAAATCAACATTCTGTCATCGACTCACCCTTAAGTTGTTCCAAACCTGTATGAATTTCTTCTGCTAAACACAAAAGAAGATATTTTGAACAATGTTGGTAACTAAACCATTACTCGCCCCCATTGACTTCCATTGTATTTTTTTCAACAGAATTTTTACATACAATAGGAACCAGCAATGGTTTGGTTACCCACATTCTACTACAAACTATCCCTTTAATCTACAAA